GTTTAAAGAATTTTAGAAACCTATCTACAAAGAATTTTGTAAGTTAATAATTTGCTTATCTACATTTCATCATACAATTTTTTAATTCTTTAACAGGAATTTATATCATATTATTTCGTTTTTAATTTATATTATTACAATAATTTTCAGAGTTTAAGTCTATAGTCACATTATAATAAATTCAAATCAATATAAGTTCATAGAATTAAATTTTCTAGCACATAGGCATATTAAAGGTATTCTATCCAACAAAAACAGTTGTACTTCATTTTTATTATATTCTTTTGAATAATAAATGTAGGTAGGTATACAAAAAAATCGGTGAAGCCCAAACAAATGTAATCACCGGTCATGGATTTAGAAATCGTGTCAAAAAATGAATTATGATATTAATATGGTTATATTATGTCTTGTTTGACGGTAAAATTTAGTATTTAAATTTACTAAAAAAAAGTTTATAGGACATATTATGTATATTACTTTACGACTCAAATATTTCTAAAACGCACAGGTAACACTAGAAGGCTTTATTTTTTAATTACACACTTTGTTTGTCTATTTATCTAATAACACTACAGTAGGTCATAAGACACAAACTCACGTGTTTCGTCGAGTAAAGAGTAAAAAAATCAACAGTAAATCACGTTCAACAATAACACCATTGTGTTTTCCAACAGAACGTACAAAAGCTTCGAAAAGGGCGTAGTTCATACATATTTGGGCGCACGTGTCTAGAAATTGAATGCCAAGTCGATTTCCGATCGCAATAATGCGTATCTAATACATCTGTACGTACCTATATAGGTTTGGTATGCGTCGATATATTAACCAGTTGCTAACAAAAATTACACAAGTTATAATATTATTATTATGAAAATGATAACATTTTATTCAGGATAATGTAGTGAAATATAGGTACGTTTATACTAAATGTATATGGTTTTAGATAAGTTTTCGATTAAAATAACAATGAGATACCAGCGAACCACCGCTATATACACGTAAGAACTAGACGTTTTTCTTAATTTGACCTTGATAGTGTTTAACACTGAAAATAATTATTACAATTAAGAATAATTAGGTACGTATTATTTATTAGTAATACGCGGTGCGAAAAGCCGCTCTAACTTAGAGTCCGACATTTCGATGAAAATAATATATCGTCGCGATATTATAATTAGGTAAATGTATTACAATACCTAGCACTGTGGCAGAGTATACGAGGACAAACGTGCATCAAGAATATTATACTTTATAGGCATACCTACAAATAATACATCTGAACAAGACTCAACTAAAATGTGCTGTAATAACGATAAGGATCTATGATCTATCGTTAGATCATTAACGGAGATATATTATATTATATTATATTTGTTACACTTGAATAATAATACAACGATTCTTTGTAATGAAAACAATATATAATTATATGCATTAAAAAGTCACTGAAGAATACATTTTTTTTGTTTTGTTCGAAGATGGTAAAAAACCTAGTGACCAAGAATAAAAATGCCCCTTCGTCTTCCATGACCTTTTATTATAATAAAAAAATAAAAAGAGTTATTGGGAGGTAGAACCTTGGAAGTAATTACCATGCCGTGGTATAATTAAAAAGTAATGATAATTATACTGTTCAAAATATTGTTAATACATTATTTAATTTTGTAATGAACATTTTTAAAATGTATCATAATATTATGTTTTATAAGACCGGTGTGGTTTTTTAAGCCATGCAGGTGTATTATCATTTATCGTTATGTATCATTACTCTTTATGTTAATAATAAATATAATATTATTTACAAAATATAACGCCTATTTGAAATATTATAAACATGCCATAAGTAAACCTATTTAGAAACCTATAGGTAGTATTTTTAAGATCCGTTGAATTTTTATGGTGATAATTTATTTTAAAAAATGAGTATAGGTACTAATGTATTATAGGGTGTAGATATTAGATTTCATAGATGGCACTTTGGCACTTTGGCACTATGGCACTATATGGTCTATGATGGGTAACATATTATTATTATAACTATAAGTATAGGTACTTTGTATAATATCCATATTGTTTCGAAATAATATAATGTAACAAACGATCAATTATTAAATAAAATTGTAAAAATGTTTTTTTAACACCTATATGAATATGAAACTTTAAACTTAATAGCTATTTGATCAATGTTTCCAAAATAAAACACATCTATAATATTGTATACTACGGACAATAAACGGGTATTTTCAGTCACCATATTACACTACTCGAGTAAAATGTATACAATTTTCAATTTAGTAGTAGTTAATAATGTTTAGTATTTAAAAATTAAAATATGACCTCAAAATTTAACTGGAATAAATTCAATTTTTTTAAAATTATTTGGCCACTTCCTAAAATTGAAGTTCACCAGTTCACATAACCTATATACATTTTGATCGATTCGCAAAATCATCGCCGAAGGGCTTAGACCAACAAACCAGTTTCATCATAGATACCTATACTCTGTGAATATTTTATTAATAATACATTATACTTAATATTGTATAATAGTGTTTATAAAATCACAAATTCCTATTATTATTATTCATTATTACAGAGTATGTAATAATGAATAATAATTTAAAGTAGATTAATTTATATTATTTAGTTAAAATCGAAACTATCTGATATATTTCCACCAAAAACATAATCGATGAAGAAGAACTTATAATAATTATTTATACATTTGAAGTATCAATTACTTTTAGATTATCCAAAACAAAAAAATATTGTATAATTTAGGACGTATGTACTATAGGTACATATTAAACTTCGTGGTAATTATAATGAGCATTTTATTAATTATTATTATTCCTATTTGAAAAATAATACCTGTTAGGCAATCAATAAATGTATTTTGGAATATAACAATAAATTGATTGTGGGTACCAAAATATTATAAAATTTAACAATGACTTATATATTTTAATATTTATTTTATAGTATTTAAAAAAAAATAATTGTTCAATTATAGACCTATTTGCCACAGAAATATTGTGCGGAGCTTTTATTTAAATTTTAAAATATCATATAAAATGATCTGACTGTGTATTGACAAACAATATAAGTACTCAGTACTCGTAAAATTAAAAAGTAAGCCAACTCATTTTAAAAATATTATTTAGCGTTTGAAGCTTATTTAGCTTATATGTAAATACAAATACAATCGTTTATATCTATCATAATATAATTTATTGATACTATATACAATCAAAAGTAGTGTAAAAGCATATAGATCGATCTGTTAACGTGAGAAAAATTATTCCTTCTGCAGGCGTATATAGATAAATTATGGTAGGTACTCATATACAACTACTGTCATGGAACGACATGACAATAATAATATTGTCAAACTGCGTCCCAAGTGTAAATGTATTTTAATAGGAGAAAAAATCGTTTACAATATACCATAAGACTTTCTACTCACTTGCAAAGTATACTGCCAAAACATCCAAAACTACTTCCGTTGGCTACGAGACGCGAGTACGAAACGGTCATAATTTCAAAGCGCGTAAATCCTCACGTAGATCGAGTATCCGTCAAACACCACGGACACTCATAGTCACATATTATTATTATTATTGCTGTTATTATGATCACATATCATTTAATTATTGTGTGATGGATCGCACTATGCCGCTCCGCGACAACTAAAATAATGTGTGTACACTACTGTATAGATTATCAGAGGAATAACACAAAAACTCCGAAGATCGATGAACGAGTTTTTTTTTTTTGGTTTTATTGACGATAAAAAAAATATACTCTTATATTATTATTTAACAACACTTAGGAGACGTATCCGTGAAATAAACGACAAACTCGACGGAGATAAAAATGAATACAATACAATAATATGAATACGACTATGAAATACGAGTTGATATTTTATTAGTATTATTATAATTTCTATTACACACACGCGCGCGCTCGAACTCGCCAATCTGTCGTTGGACTTGCCGCCCGTACGGTTCTGCCACTTCTGTCGGTATCGTTCTGCGGACTGCGAGTTGCAACCGACCGCCAGACCGTCATCTGACTACGTATGCGTTATTTTCACTGGTCTCCCACCATCACTCCGATCGCTTTATGTATATCGAAAACCTGCATGGTGTACCGGTGTAGTGTATAAGGTATATTATGGGTACAGATAGTATATAGGTAAGGCAAACGCTACCATTATTGTTATTATCATCATCATCATCATCACAATGCAGTCTAGGTACCTATATAATATATGTTTAATGTTTCTGGCTGACGACTGGTGGACAACTTTATATAATATATATTATAAATTATAATACAGTAATACGCGAATGTGTGTTTAATATGTAATAACAGGCATACGTAGGTATGACATATTGAAATAGAATTTAAGTGTCTCCGCGGTGGTGCTTATTGCTTATAAATATTAAATACGTTGATCAGCGGGCGTAATGGCGTACCTATATAATTATGGTCGCTTAGATTATGCGTCGTATTACAATTTTGTTTATTTAAAAAAAAAAAATGTCAACTACTTTGCCTTGTGTGTCTCCCCGGACGATTAAACAAATTACTGTAACATAATATTTATATAGAGCCTACGACGACATAGGACGATTTAACAATGGTATAATACACGTATCAACCCGAATGCAACATCCGTCATCCGTATAATCTATAATATAATAATATTATATTCACGGCGACGTTCTTCGACGTTTTATTTTCACCCCGTACAGCAGGCTCTAAACCTAGCTATAATACATAAATATGTTATTATTACCGCGTATAATAGTATAAATAAGCCTATACGACAACGACGCAAGTCGGTATGTCGAAGCTAATATTATATAATATGTATATAGGAACTTCGTAGTCGGCTATATGACTGCGATGGCATGTAACGATATCAATATAATATTATATATATAGGTAGGTATGTGATACGTAAAGTGTAAGCGAATTGCATACGTCTATCCGAATAACAGGAGTTCGTTTTTTCTCAGTCTATATTCAGTCGGTGTTAACATTCCTCTGAAACACACACCGATAACAAAGTTCATTAAACACTATCGCTGAGATGCTATGATATATATGTAAGTATCTGGTGTTTAGGTAAAATGAGCAAGTAGGCCTGTAACTGGCACTCCCCCCTAATATCTACCATATAATATGACCTGTGGCTGAGCGCACATCATTTTTTTAAAAAAAACACGGTCATTATAAATAATAGGTAGGTAACATTACAATATTAATTCTGTTATGTATATGTGAATAAAAATTTTCTTCCATATGAAGATTGAATGAAGCCATGTATAACAGGAGAATCAATTTAACATTGTTTAGTATTAATTAATATAATAAAATAGTGCCTATACTAATTTAAAAAGTTATCATAAAGTTGTTATAGTTTTTCGTTAAACAATTATAGGGCTTAAGTGGCCTGTTGATTTATAATTCCATGTGTGATATATGCACTTCTTGTGGTACAGGCTGCTTGGTGGCTGGTATCTATAGCCTATAGGCACAACTAAGGTAACATTATTAGGGTAATTCGTTGGGTGGAATATAAAGATTTCCACTTCCTTTAAATAACCGATATTACTAATAATCGTATGTTTACATACCTACATTAATTTTTCTATTGTTTAAGTAAAATTATTAAGGTTACAGATTTGAAAACCAATTCTGATGCATACCTATAGGTACTATTGTTTTAATCCGATGTTTTACTCTTTGCGTGGCCGAAAATAATTGTTCATAAGTAGCAAATGGATACTAATAAATTAGAATATAATATATTATAGTGATGACTAATAGTGACTGCTTCAATCAATTTGTGTAAATCGGTATGAATATAATCATTAATCATTAGGTAATAACGTTTTTAATCATTCTAAGTTATGACCAGCGGGTTTGACATTATTTTCCCAAATAATCTCTGCTATATATGTTTACGGATTTATGAAAATCACGACACTGAAAGTTTGAGAGTGCTAAATGTTAAGCACTCCCTATAACACCCTCCCCCGCCCTATAGATGCCCCAATGCTGCGTGTACCTTCTTATAGCCGTGGAGTATAAATCGTATGAGACAGCACAGCCACGAGTGATATACTACATTATACTATATATATATTATAATATACTTTCGAATAATATTCGGCACAAACCGAACCTCAATACGGTATCAAAAGTGACGGACACTCCTTTGGCCGTCATTTTCTTGAAAAGAGCCCAACATTCTTTCTCTTTGTCGGACTTGAGCATCGGTTGGCCGTCGAGTACGTCGCAGCGGACGTCGATCTGTGCGATTTCTTTGTCCCGCAGTGTTTCGTCATCGTCACCGTCGTCGCCGCCGCGTTTGGAAATTACTACTTCTTTTACAACCGGCCCGTCGTCTTCATCGTCATCCCTGAAATAAAACGATAACCTCGTATTTTAATATTACTATTTCAAACAATCAATATTGCAGACGCAAAAGAGACGTACACGACATGATCGATTTTCATCTTTGGTATAGTGATGATAAAATATAATATTATAACGAGGAGTACAACCGAAACACTACCAACATTTCGACGGGTTGATTTCGACAAGGCAAAATACTCGCGTGATGTATATATTATATAGTTGTTTGTAATTTTGCCATCACATTCGGCATATTTTTTTCCAGTTTATATGTTATTAGGTACCTAAAGATACATCGGTAGTAGGTACATATAGTTTGTCGTGTTTACACGCAGTAAAATTATTTGCGGAAACTCGGATAATTTTCAATAAATTGAAATGATGGATGTATAGCATGCCGACCATACAATATGTAAGGTTTCATAATGTAGGTCATGTCGTTAAAGAAATATATGCGATTTTAACTATTACAAAATAAAGATATCTTCATAGTCCATGTGTTATACTCGATATAATAGCTGCGTATCATCTATACAATTCTAAAACGTGTAGTACCTATAATATCATTAAAGGGTAAACATGCACGTTATGACATTAAGCACACATAATATTATCTTATGATTTATACACATATATCATGAAAATTATTTTCTGCAAATACAATTTGCATTATATTATAACATTATCCAATTATTTTTTATATCCTTAAACTCAACATTATATACATTAAACAGTACAGGTATTACCAACCAAAAAAAACACGATTATTTATGTAAATAAATGATATTACGTTAAATGCAGTATTGTCTATTGAATATAATACAACTCAAGTATGTATTATTAAAATGTTAGAGAAGTTGAATGCCTAGTAAAATACAACCCACAGCTCTTTGTTGTATATTTAGTTATCTACAGACTAGGCATAACGATTTTGTTTCAAAAAAATCTCGACTCATTAGATATTATTAAATAATTACATTTTAATTATTATATATTATATCAAATCAATATTAGAAAAATAATATCCAAAGTTAGTTAGGGAGAGGTTTCAGATATTTTTGTATCAATCTACAATTGATACCAATTTTGTTTTTAAATTTAAAAATAAATCAAATGTTTCCCCGAAATAATAATCATATTTTCACGATTTAACTCTCATTTTTAAGCACCTATATTACATTTTAATTTTTATAGAATACATTATACAAATAAGTAATAACTATTTACACTATAGTCTATAAGTCAAATCTATATGAATAGAAATATTTCTTTTATACCTTGTTATCTCTATTGTTCTTGATTTAATCAACGATTTTCCAACACGGTTGTTGAGAAGTTTTGGTTTTCCAATCGATGTCATTGCACTATCAAATGATTTTTGATGATAACGCATACTGTTATTAAATTGAGGAAATGTAACTATAAAACAATAAAATATCATTATTATAAAACGAAAAATGATTGTTTCCGATTTATTAGTTTATTAGTAACGCAGTTTCGTCTAATTTTATTAAATGCATGAAAAAATAATTCTTTTATAACTATTAAGTAGCTTAAAAAGTTTTAGCATAACGTGTAAACATGAGCACAAAAACTTTATTTTTATTTTGCAGTTGATAACGTCATTAACAACAAGTTGATACAAAGTTCAATCAATTATACTTAAGTGACATTTGTTGTCTCCCGTCTCCGTCTTACAAGTGTGTACATAGCAAATTTTCGCTCGTCAGATCACATTTATTTCTGTTAGCTTAAAAACTACAGTGATTTCACCTCTCAGCAATGACTTTTCAATCATTCATTTTTAGTTTTCAAGTTATGAGTATTTTAAGAAGTACACTAAATTTTAAATTTTAAAATACTCATAACTCGCTAAAATTAAAATATAATAAAAACCTATGTCATTGCCTAGATAATAATCTTAATTTTACATTTTATAAGAGGTCAATTCACTCTAATTTTTAAAACAACAGAGATAAACGTGATCTTCTGAGCGTAAAATTTGGTATGTTACGCACTTGTGAGACGGAGACAACGAATATCACTGTAATTTCACCTTAAATACAAATTCATTGGAACTCATATCAATAAATTAAAAATAGTCCACCTGAAATAACATTGGATAGTACCTAAACTACACTAGGAAATTGGAAAGAATTATTTTCTAAGCCAAACAATGAACAATTTTAAAAAGTAAGAACATTAAATTTCATTAAATTGGACTAAGATGAATATTTCAGTTAAGATAATAAAATCTTAATAGCCTTACATTAAGATTATAATGCCTTATTTAATTTATTACATGTAAGTTCCTAGGTGCATACCTATTTTTATTAAATTAATACATGCCTATCTATAATGCTATATAATAGTATAATACAAACCAGCTAGCAAAAATTGATTTTCTTAATAAATGTTCTTGATTTTATTGTTAACCTAAATATTAAACTTATTATCCAAAAGCTTATCAAAGAAAAACATGAATTGTTATTATGTATATTATTATTTGTAATTTAAATAATATATATAATAGGATACAGGATATCACTATAACCACTATATTATTTATGAATTTATGATTAATTAATTTCATGTAAATTTTTTTTTTTATTTATAGAGTTTTTTGATTATTATTTGATTACATTTTGAAATATCCTATGTATTTTTCTAAATTTACGTAAAAGACTAAATCAGGTTATTTAATACTTATTCAGTTTGAAAATTAAAGTAAGTATAATTATAACAGTTTGTAATTTGAACAGAGAAATCAGTGAACATATCGCACTTTTTTGGACCAAACGATATGTATAATGTTTTAAATTTCTACCAATTTAGCCTAACTCGATGATAATCCATGGTATTTTTGTTAGTTGTTGTTATTAGCAGTTAATTAATTAAAACAATAATTTATTTACCGGTTTTTGTGGAGACGTCATCGGGTGTTGGTGATTCCTCCACATCACTTCCAACTGGACTTAAAAGCGACATCATCGTTACCACTTCTACATTTTGATTCTTTTTGCCAAACTTTTGACCATTTGGCAGACGACTATCCACATCAATGCTTTTATGGAAAGCTTTACTCCTACAAGATTTCAGCTTTCTGGTCGGAAATCTATGAACATCTTGAGATTTTCTCCGTGAACTTGCCGAATAAAGTCCTTGTGTAGGGTTCACGCTTTGTTGTCTCGACGAAGGCGCCGACATTGCTCTGGTCAAAGTTTGTCTTTCGTTCTGTTGTTGTTTCGCAGTCTTGTAAAACCTAACTCTTCTGGCGGCAGCCGAAAGAGGTTTTTCCTCCTCACTAGAGTCTTCTGGTGAATTATCACCTTCTCCTGCATGGTTCTGAAGTTGTACTTCCAACGCGGTTCGACTAGGGTCCTTTTCCTCTTCTTGTATTGAAGATTCCTGTACATGATCTATAGATTCCATTAAAGGATCTTCGATAACATTTCTAGCCAAATAAATATTAATACATGATTTAGACTGTTCCCGATCGATCCACGCCTGTTTTATTCTTTGTGCAAACTGTTCTTTAGATTCGTGTAAGACTTCCGGTTTTAAACATACTTTAGTCGGGTTTGCTGTGGGTCTAGATTTTTTTTCATTTTTTAAAAGCCTATTAATAGAACGTGAAATTACTTCTGTATTGCAATTATTATCTGTTTCAGTTTTATTGAAATTAGAGTCTTTTTGCAACCAGGCTTTTTTTGACAATTTTTTTTTGTCATCTTGACTATCTGCGCCGTTGTTTGACAATGTTTTGGACTTTTGATTATCTGTACAGTATTTATTGAGTACGTCTTTAGACATGCCAAACAATTTTTAATTTACCTAAAATATGCAATTAACATATTATTAGCTATAACATAATATATTATACACATGAGTGCCTACGTAACCAAACAAGCCCGAAAACACCTCGCAAATGTAAACATTAGTTTACATTTTTTGTTACAAACTTATCATGATACAATTTTAATGGTAACACATTTGAAAAAATAATTAAAATGAGGATAAGATGATTCAAAAATAACAATAACAAAAATATACCTAGCATAAAAATGCTTTTGTTAATGGAAAACATGAAAATATTATAATAGAAACTATAATATTCATATTGTTTTATATATAAAATATATACATGTATACGCAAATTGTATTAATTTTAAAAAAATGTTTCATAATAATTTAAACACAATATGTATATCGTTTTTAAAAAGTAGCCTAGTTACTAATGCACACTATACAATAAACAATATATATATATATATATATATATTATTTATATTTATCATAAACACCTGCAGAACTAAGAAAAATTACAAAAATGATATGACGTATGACACGTGATATGGTTAAAATATTGTATTATATTATTATAATTATTTTAGTGTATGATTAATTTAAATTATTTAGTTAATTTAATATTTATTTATTTAGGTACTTACATATTTTAAAAATGATGCTTTGAACGCGTACATTCGACTCCGGCAGTGACACAAACACTTCTAAGCGTATTTGATTTGTCTTTTACATGAACTTCTCATAATTTATTGATCTTGAGAAAATATTGTTTTCACCGTATTTTCATGCGTTTTTGCCGGTATAATGACTTTGTTTATAATACGTCACCAAGACGACAAACCATCGACCAACTATATTTAGTAGCTTAAATGTTCATGCATACTTTTTTACTCTTCTTAACACATTTGAAGTGTCGTTATAATTAATTGTTTTTAGAATAAAAATGTAATACGTAATTTTAACGTTTATCTAATGTTAATGAACTTTCAACACTTTATAATAGGTAAATAATTTATTTTGAAACTTTGTAGTTTTATTTTAACCGTTTGTTGGACTTACTTTTACTTTGATCATTGATTATAAATTATAATTAATAAACTAGTTGATTGTATACTTACCTACCGATTTTATTTCAGTATACACATAAGTAGGTAATTATTAATTAATTTAATAATTTTTAATTCAAATGAATCTAAGTGAATTTAAATTCTCAGACGTCATACACAAAAACACAACCATTATGAATAATAAAAATGATCCGTAATACCTACCTATTTTTCACGACTCTTTTCTAAACTCTATAGCAGCGTTACCCAAACTTTTCCTCCGCTGGATCCCTTAGAATCCATGTAAGTAATCAAACCAGCCCGTGACCATTTTATGAAATTAGAAATTTCTAAAGGTATTAAAATAAAAAATAACAATATATAAATAAATAATATTAATTAGGAATTAATAATTATTTTGTAACTGAATATACCAATAATTTTTGAGCAGTTCCTCTAATAAAAAATAGTGATACAATTTGCTTAAAAGAATACCATGATATAAATATGTTATAATCTTAATCCTCTGAATTGGCAAGATTGTTTGTATTTCTTAAGCTTAAATTAAATAAATAAATAAAAATGTAATATAAATTAAGGTTTTTTTGCATTATTAGGTAGGTACAAATCCTAAGTTTTCTTTAAATACAACGATTTACATATCATACTTCAAAAGTAGTTTGAATTTTTATTTGACAATATAATATTAGATATTTTAATAATTAAATGTAATTAAATTAAATGTATGTAAAATTATATGAAATACTTGTACAGTTGTATAATTTACACTAGGATAATAAAAGTGAATAGGCTTTTAAATAGTGTAGGTAGGTTCTATACAAATGAAGACCTGGGAGCCACAACAAAACATCTCCAATTAATAAAATTTTTTTGTTTGTATAAGTAGTATATATATAGCCAGTGGGCAGTGAAAATTGTCAAAATCAAATTTGTGTGATCTCAAAACCAAGAAATAAAACTTAGAAATATCTAGTTATTTATAATTTAATATATAATACACAGTGTACACTCGTAATAAATTAAATATTTTAGTGCAGCAACAAGTCATCTCCATTCTCCATTTGTATGATATCTCTGTATACAGCAATCGGATTTTACTGGTTGCTGCACCAAACGACAAAGTTTTTTTACTCTTAATAATATGTATCAAAAACATTGATAGGTATTTTAAAAAATTCTAAAACAGAATTTATTTGACTATATGATTTTTTTATATTTTTAAGTGAATATTGGGTGTGGGGTTACTTTTTATGTAATGTCAGGTGGGCCCCCCAAAATTTTAGCCATAATAGTTGCGCCATTACGAACGATGTTGACCGTCGTACCGTTTTACCACGCAGCTGTGTTTTGCGCAGTTGCGCAACGGGAAGTATTCTTCATCCGACGGTACGCGTTTGAATCGCTGACGTTTTCCCTGCAGGCTACAAGTGGTAGTAGAAATCAAGCAAATGGTTTTGAGCGAATTTTTAAGTAGACGCTGCATCAGGGGCGGACTGGGCCGGCGGGATACCGGGAACTTTCCCGGTGGGCCGCTACTCAAAAATAATTAGTTACCTATTATTATTTATTTATAACAAAATCAGTAGGTATAAATATAAATTATAAATATTTTGTATTTTCATATCATAACTGTTGAGTGTGCAAAATGTTTATATTATATTTGGTGTTAAAGATTTTAGATTTCGGTTCAGCTGGTTGACCAGCCCCTCGGCATCAATGCATAAACAGAAATTATTATTTATAACTACTAGGGTGTGAATTTGAAGATAAATTGCATTTTTTTCTGGATTCTCTTAAACATTGCTTTCCAATCAAAAAATGTATTTCATACATAAAATAATTTAAAAATTAAATTTTTATTTAGCATTTTTTTAACTTTACTGATTTATAGAACATTTTTTTGACGTTTTTATGACATTTTTATCGTTTGAAGGAATTTTTCGTAAATTTTATAAGTATATATTATACAAATATACAATTTTATAAACACTATTAGCTTAAGTTCCTTCAAGAAATTTAATATAATTAAAAATCATTTTTTCTTACTAATATTTCTATTTTATTACGTTTTATTTTATTTTGTTTGCTCCTATGACTTCAGTTATACAAAACAACACTTGCCAATAATTCTAACTGTCAAATTTTTTATTCAAAAATATTGATTAGCTTCTGATTGAAAAGTGATTATAATGAAACACAATATATGACGACTAACGACTAATGACTATACCTATTTAAGTTCTATTTTATTTTCATTTAAATTGGCTTTTCATTTTTCTGGGCATTTTACTAAGCTTTGTAATATTGTTACTGTGCATAAAATCGTATTTTTAAGGCATTGTTTTTTTTATTGTATTTATATCCATGCCCTATTTTTAACTTAATATGACTTTATTCTACAGTCGATTAATATATCCACTTCTAGCCAGCCAGTATTTACTAATTATAACTAACATTAAATTGTACACAATAAAAAATATAATATAAATATATTGTACCTACATAATAGTAAAATATAAAAGATAATTTGTGATAATTTGATGGGAATTAATAAGCTGATAACTAAAGGTACAGTTTCGTACGTTCAATGTAACGTCCTTAATTCAAAAAAGTGAATTCTTGAACTTCTTTTTTATTTTATTGTAGTGTACTAGTGTATCGTTTGATGATTTTGTAATATTTACTTATCTATTTGTTGTTTAAAATGGAAACTAAAAGAAAGAGTGGGGTTGAAAAAATCAGAGAGAGAGAGAGAAGGATACTCTTAGAAAAATCAAGTTAAAGTAGTTTAAACGAACCTATTTTTTTCATCCGTTATGGATCACTTATAGAGTAGGTAATAGAAAAAGTGATATATACATAATACTGTGCAGTACATTTAATTAAGATAAAATACTAAATAGGTACATTGAGAATCTTAAGTTGTCTCCTGAGGAAATTAAAAATGAGTAGGTGAAGGATGCAACCATTATTTGTCATAACTTTGGTACCATATTTAAGTCTTACATTTAGTGATGACGACATTTTAAGGGCCGGTCAAAATATAAATTTCCCGGGCCGAATAGTTGCCCCAGTCCGTCCCTGCACTGCATTAATTTAGAAAATGATACCTGGGTTAATATTGTGAGTTTAATGGCTAACCTTTGATGGTTATGCCGTAAATATTAGTATGAAAAATAACTTGTGCTGTAAATTAATTCCAAAGCCTGAATAACTATTAACTTAATTTAATGTTAATAATTGTAATGTAAATATTATATTAGATCTTTTGCATATGATCAAGAGTCAAGTTAGTACAAAACGCTATAGGTGAAATTGTAGATTTGAATTACATATATTGAACAATCACTAATAAACCAAGATTTGGATATCAATTTCATTTCAGAAAAAAAGTGTAGATAGGTGAAATTAGCTACCTAACGTTTATCCTGTTCAGTTGCTAATTCACTGAAATTTTGTGTGATACATTTAAAATTAAAAGATGCATTTGATTTACAATTCTCATTACGTCATATATAAGGGGCTTTTAATAACCAAACCACGGTTATCTACTACATAATTTGGATGGGGTAGCCTCATTTAGTCATTTGAATACATTTACCATAAAACCGTAGTAAAAAAGTATTTTATAAACAAAAATAAAATAATATACTCATAGCCGTCCCAGGGGGGGGCAAATGGGGCAAGTGATATAGGGCGTCTTAAGTATTATGAATTTAGGGGCGTACTAAAAATGAATGATAAAAGAAAAATTTGTTAAATTTTAAAGCCCCAGAAAAAAAATTGCTCCCCCCTAAGGGGCCTACCCACGGAAAATATGGGAGATAGATCCTTATTAACCTTTTAGATTTTGAGCACAGAATAGAATATTTGTTTTACAATGTGTCCTTTTTTAAAAATATTGTTTAGTAATATTGCTTGATCCTCTCTCCACAAAGA